TTGTAATAACCAAGTTGCAGTTGCAATATGTATTTTTCTGCAAGTGAATATTTCATCACTAAGTTCATTTTTTTTCTACAAGCTACAAAACTTTTTCTTTTCTTCTGTGACTTCAAATTTGGTTCACAGTTACGTGGCTATTTTATACAAGGGTACATTTGGTTCACAGTTACGTGGATATTTTATACAAGTGTAAATGTATGAACACAAACTCAGATTTTTTTCTGCAAGTGCTCACATCAGGTTTTACACGCTCTCGCATTTTTTCACCATATCTACCTTCATAACAGGCTGCAACCAAAACATGCAGTGCCTGAAGTAAGGTGTGTGTGTGTGTGTGTGTGTGTGTGTGTGTGTGTGTGTGTGTGTGTGTGTGTGTGTGTGTGTGTGTGTGTGTGTGTGTGTGTGCGTGCGTGCGTGCGTGCGTGCGTGCGTGCGTGCGTGCGTGCGTGCGTGTTTTTTTTTTTTCTTTTTTCCAGTGTTAGGAGATGTGGTGAAAACAATTTCTGAACCAATACATATTTCACTGTTCTAGATTGCACCCTGTGCCGGCAAAAGGAAGCGCTGTGAGGTCTGCGGACCCTCAAAGGACTCCAAGACACAGATATACTGTATTTTATGAATAGTGACTGTTAATTGTTTTTATTTGCTTTGTGTTTATATCTGTTCTATGTTATTTATATGGATGTTTCATCATCTCCATATATTTCACAGCCAAATACTTTTGGATGTGTGGTTCTTGGGTTTCAATTGCTGTTAAATTGCTTTATTTCCTTCAGGGCTTTGATTATTATATGACAGATTAAAAATAATAATTTTTATTTGCCCCTAACATTACCAAAGGGTACGAAATGTGAACATAACACAAGGGTTATCCAAGGGTTATCATAAAGATATCTAATATTTTACCCAGTTTGCAGCGGCTTTAACAGCTGCTTCTGCCCTGCAGTGGTTTAACTTCTTTATTTGCTGCAATGATGTAGAAGTGTAGTCCAGGGTGTGTCAGTCCACTGTTTCATCAGTGTTACAGCTACACTGACTGCCATACAGGTCTATGACATGAGAGGGCAGATATTGGCTGCGTTCTAAATCACACACATTTTCTTTGGAGATTATCCTGCTGAACAAAACATTTCAGTATCACAAATCTGTTTGCCACAGAGCTTGTTTTCTGCAATACACCTCAACCCAACTGAAGCATCCCATTGCTTTTTGTGGAGGGTTCCCTTGTGATGCTAACTTCCGCGCCGGCCTACCAAAATACGTCATCCCTGCACCACTCTATATATAACAGTCAGCTCTCTGCTGCTCCGTCCACTGTCTGTTCCTCTGGGAAGAGGATTGTGGGTCAGAACAAGCAGAACAGTTTGCTTTCATTCTGCAAAATGTATCCAAATTCAGTATATCCTGGTATTTTGGCATACTGCATTTGAAAAACTTTGTAATAGTGCATTCTAAATATTTTTCTGTCATACTGAATAGTATCGAAGAAAGAGTTTTGGAATGCACCATTTCATTTTCAGAGTGGTACTAAGTACTCTTTAAATGCCGTTTTAAATGTGGATGTGTTCAGATCTTACATGGGCTTTGCTACATGTCGTCCCTTTTCCTATCTATGTTCTGTCATATTACATTACATCACATGTTACTTGTTATACACTTTTATCCAAAGCGACTTACATACTCAATACTGTGGTCAATCCCCACAGGAGCAATTTAGGGTGAAGTGTCTCAGGGACACAATGACTGCTGACTGCAGTGAGGGTTCGAACCTGTGCTCCCCTGATCCGAACACCAACACACTAGTCCACTGCGCCACACGTCTCCCTATATCATATCAAACAGAACTTTTTTTAATAAAATAACAATAACAGATATATTTATCAAATAATATAAATACTCAACAGCTTCTCCTTTTTTTAATGCCAAGTCAATAAGCTGTATGTCATGGGGAACAAAATGACAGTATAGTGTCCCTCCAAATAAAGACTTCATCTCCCATCAGCTCCTTGGCTTGCTCCTTCTCCCTGAAGAAAAGCTGTGTTGTGTTTTTTCAACTTAATTATTTAAAGATACAGAAAAATGGACCAGCCAAAATGTTTTAATGCAAAAAAAGGACCTCGTCTTTAAACATTATTTTTTTTAAATAGATGTACAGTATGTGATGATATAGAAGCAGTTATTTATGTATGGTTGATGTTATTAAGTTGAAATGCCTACTAATCCCCAACAGAAGTGAAACTATAGTAAAAAAATGTTTGAATCTTGTGTGTCTTTGAAAGTCGCTGTACGTCTCTGCACAAAGACGTTTATGTACATTTAGTGCAGGAACTAACTAAAGGAATGTGACTTCTGAATCAGATGCCATGTGTGATATTTATATCCAGAGGGGGATCATCTTTAATCTGACACATGTGGTTCACATTTGAGTCCAAATCTGCCAAATCAAATTAGATTAGATCAGAGTTCCCATGAAATAAAATCCATGTGACTGAAGCTAGAGCATCAGACTGACGAATAAAACGCAGGAAACATCGTGTCATGTGAACCCAAGACTTGAAACAGACATCTGATGGCTCAGAAGAAAGACTTGGATTGTTATATTATATTTAATATAAGCTGATGGTTTAACAAAGAGAATGGGGGGTTGGATTCAGAGCCACAAATATTCTATATCAATTGAAAGCTGGATCTTTTTATCCTATCACATCTTCATCAGCATGTGTCGCTGAATTGTGGATGTATGGCATTGTTATTTATTTATTTTCTACTTTGGTTACTTCTTGTCCATGTTGGCTAAAGACACAAAAATCCCCCAAATCTAAAAAAAAATTCATCTGCTAATAAAGATGATGTGATGTAATCGAAAGCTTCAGAACAGCTACTTAATGGACCTGGATTAATTTTCATTATTCCAATAATTGAGAAATATTTAACGTGAATATTCTTTCCTCTGTCTGGAAATCTATGGACAATTATTATTACAATTATCAGCAATACACTATGTCAAGAATACTTAATAGGTAATATTCTGCTCATTTTCAGGTGTATATCAGTATGTAGTGTCTCTGACATGTCTCCATGCTTTAATGTTCAAAAAAGCTCTTTACTTTTCTCATACTGCTGCAGCACCTCTTTTCACCCTCTGTCTGAAACCAGAGCCCAGTCTGCTCTGATCAGGAACACAGGGATTTTAGCCTTTGCAGACCATTTACATGCACCAAACCTTTATAACACACTACAGTAGAGGTCTCAAACTCAAGGCCCGGGGACCAAATCCGGCCCGCAACTTCATTTTATGTGCAAAAGCTTGCAAAGAATAGAATAAGTTTATTAAACGGTTACATGCCACTTTACAGAAGCAGGTTGCCCATAAAATACATGTCCCACAATGCATCTCTTGTGACATGCACACTGAAGAGACGTGCAATTATTTGCCCTGGACTTCTGCTTTCAGACGTAGTTAATTACTAAGTTATTACCCTATCCGATAATAATCCAATTCAGAGTCAATAATGTAATATAATACATTATATATATATAATATTTATATAGTTACAACCGGCCCTTTGAGTGCAACCTTTATGCGAATGTGGCCCGCTATGAAATTGAGTTTGACACCCCTGCACTACAGGAAAGGGAGAACCCCCAAAACTGCTTTTGCACAGCACTTGTTTTGGGAGGAACAGTGAATGTACAAATGCATTTTCTCTATTCAAGTAAATAAAAAGAATGCTTTCTAAAATACTTAGTGTGTTATCACCACATATCAGACAAAGGAATATGATTAAAACCTGAGAGTCTCTGCTGTGGACAGCGGCAGCACAGAGTGGTAGGATTCAGATTCACCCATCACAGAGAGCTAGGACACAAGAAGATGGCTGAGGAGGATTTGGTGTCAAGGCAAATAGAAAAAGTGCCGGCTATTTGGCAATATTTCAGATATAAACTCATCATCGCTCCTAGGGAACCTGATAACAGATAGAAGAAGCCAATCGGTAAAAAGAATGTAGAAATGTAGAGGATGCAGGAGAGGGTGGAAAAGTCAGCAGAGCCATCCAACGTTTAAGATTAAAGTAATCACTCAATAACTTTTCTTTTAGGATGTCCAGTCTGATTGGTAACACCAATGTTGTCACAAGTCAATGAACTGGTGGAAAAGTTCCTCTCTGTGGCATCTTTACAATGCGTACTCGCATGGTCTCAAATTATTTTGCTGAGCATTTTGTGTAACGTGACGTGTTACAGCTTTCCCTCTGAAAACAACGGTATGGAAGTGAACCAGAACAGTAAAGTCTGAGGGTGGAGAGACTAACAATGAGCTGAAAGTCAGTTTAAAGCTCCAAAAAGCTGAGAAAGCAACAGATTAAAGTCTCTGGTTGTTCATCATCATGTGTTTCGATATAGCATTAATATTCAGAAATTGATTATAGCCGCT